GCCTGGGAGAAGAGCAGGGGGGCGCGGGCGGCGCCGGCGCCCAGCAGCAGCAGGTCCAGGGGCGCCAGGAGCCCGGCGCCAACGGGGCACCGGAAAGGCAGCCCGGCCAGGCCCAGCAGGGCCAGCAGGGCCAGTAGGCCGAAGAGCGCGCCGGCACCGTAGACGTGGGCCTCCCAGGCCGGGCCCCAGGCGGCCAGCGCCGTGTTCCAGTCGGCGTGCAGACCCACCAGGAGGGGTGGCGAGGCGGGCGCCGCGGGGGGCTCCGGCGAGCTGCAGGGCTCGGGCGTCTCCAGGGGGTCGCCGGCCATGGCCCTCGCGCTGCCAGGAGAGGGGCTGTGCCCACTGGGCTGCAGGTCTGGCGGGGAGGAGAGACAGAGAGGGGTTAGCGGGGAGCATGGGGGTGCCCAGAGCCCCCTCCCCTGCCCTACGTGCCGGGCCTGTCTGCAGAGAGCACACACAGACGTGCAAACGCGTGCCCCCCCTTGCTAAGATGCGCCCAGCGGTACAGCAGCGGGAAGGAAGGCACCGACAGATATGCACACGCAGGCAGCACCACGCCTACCCCTGTGCACGACAGGCACGGCGATCCACAGCCGACGGACGGCCCCCACAGCCCGGCTGTGCAGGCTTGTGTGCTCCGCAAGTGCACGCATGCGCATACGCCCATACCCACATGTGCAATCACGTGTGTCCTCTGGAAACATGCATGCCAGGGGCAGCGTGACGATCCCACAGGCAGCCCCCTCAGTGGCACTTGCAATACCCAGGGGTGGGCACGAGGCTTGGGAAGAGGCTGGCTCCTGGCTCCAGTACCCAGGGGAGCTGCCCTGCCGGGTTGCCCCTCCATGCAGGGGACATGGAGAGGCTCCGGGATGTGCGAGCCCAGGGCAGGAGACCCCTGTTCACGACCTTCCCCAGCAGGGCCATGGGGGCTCAGGACACCTCCCTCCTGCTCTGGGGGACGATGGGCACAGCTTACCTGGCCTTTGGGGTCAGTGCCCTAGGACCAGCCCGGCCTGGGGCTGCTGTGTTCGGGGGGAGCCGGTGCCCCCGTGGACTCCGGCATCC